GATAACATGTTACTATTCATACAAAAATTGCATTTAACCTGGATTGATCCTTTAATATCACGAAATTGCATTTTAGTCTAGGTAAATTAATTCAATCATGTATGGATCCTGTGGTTTTGAAGTTGCCCCACGAGGGCCAAAATTACCGTAAGCTCCGAATTAAGCATTAATCCCCCCTCTAACCAGAAATGTTGAATGCTATTTCATCCCTAACCCAGGCCTCGATTGAATGAGGGGTGTATACATATCCTACTTCTTACTCAAAGATTGCTTTAGAGTTTCAGGGCTTACACGTTTTTCATCCATTTAGACGGCTTAGTATGGAAGATACCGCCCTGCCTTCTCAGGCATCCCTCATGAGCAACAGTGGTAACGGTGGTGGCAATATTCATTCATCCAAGTCCGAGAACAGAAAGCGTTTTGGGCCTTCTGGTGATTTTCGGACTAGGCTCTCTCGTGGAAACTTTACTCTTTCTCGACAAGACTCTTTCGATGTTGGGAATGATCCTGTGGAAGCGTCATCGCCACGCTCTTTGGTTAGTTAGCAGTGTTTTAACTATTTATGTTTGTGTGTCGATATTTCGATTAATTATAGGGCAACGATATGCTTAAATCATAAAAGTGGCTATCATTTTGTCCAAAGCTCATTTTTAATGTGTGATTTAGAGATAAGGCACCCGGATCTTATCTCATAGTTTATAAAATCCTTGTTTTTGAATGCCATACTTTGATTTCNCCCCAGATGCATGAAATTTGATCTATTTGATCTTGGTCTAGTCTAACCTCACAAGAAAGTGCCAATGCATCAACCCACCTGATTTCTCTTAAATTTCATGATAGAACGTTTATTTTTCGAAATTTTCTGTTTGTTTAGCATGGCAAAGGTTTCTTACAAACACCATCAAATACCTTTACCTTTAAACTGCGTGCATGCGTGTGGGGGGGGGGAGAGTTGGACTACTGTTTATAGAAGTTATGTGTTTTCGGCCCTTCCCTTTCTAAACCATACACACACACACACACACACAGGGGTTGGGGATTAATTGCTCCCTCTCTTAAGCGGTTGTACTATATTTACTTCATCCACTTGTGGTAGCGCGGTGACGCAATTCCCCAACTATATAGCAGATGGTCGTAGCTCCTTGTCTTCAAATTTTAGTTGCTTTGCCGTTGATGTCATTCCCAACAACCTCAAGAATCAGGAGTTTCACCACTTGATTTAGGAGTAGGTACAAATTTTGGTGTAAAAGGAATTAGACAGCCGTTTATTTCTTAACGTTTATTTTCAGACAATTAAGGTTGGACTCGCACTACTGTTGGGTTTTAATTGCTATTGTAATTCCTGGCTATTAATAATAATGCCAAAGCAATTATAGAAAGGTATGAATTTTGCCTTATTTGACTTCTGGATTTTTTCACTCTATATCATGAATGTAGTTTGCTTTGTCATATCCTGATGTTCTCGTGCTCAAATTTCTCAATTTCGTCCTCTAAATTCCTGAATGTGAATTCACTTTCACTATGGTTTGAGCTTTTTCATCTTTGCTTATTAAAAGCGCTTTTTTTGGACAAGCCTCCTTAGTACCATTTATTTATTTATTTATTCTAATAATCAAAATTGCAGTTGATTTTTAATGACCTAATTTGGCCTTCTGTGTTCAAGTTTACAATGCTCAAAAATCTTTTCTTTGAGCAAGTTACAATGTTGCCTAAAGGTCGCACTTATTAAAGCAATTTTTCTACCAGAAAATCGCTGAAATTATTTTCATCTAACCCCCCCCCCTCCCTCCTCCTCGTCATCCCTACTGTCGTAAACGCTTAGATACTTTTTTTTCTAAATGTCTATTGCTATTATTTATTTCTCCCCAGACCGTGACCTCATTGCCTGGAGTTAAAGAAAAAAAAGCCAGTGTAGGCTCTACCGGCTTTATTTATAGCAATCTCTTTCACAAGTCCTCATGAGTTGAGATGAGAAGCAAAAAAGGCGATTTGTGTTGTCAGTAGATAAACTTATTTTGAGAGAAAAAGAGTGAGCGATTGAATGACTGTGTGTGTGTGCGTGTGTGTGTGGTGTGTGTGTGTGTGTGTGTGTGTGTGTGTGAAAATCTTCCCAATTAAGAGATATTTACCAATTTTTGGCAAAAGTATGTCAAGAGTTAGCCTCTTTGGGTACTGTTTTGACCTTCCTGTTAGTAAATGTTTTTGATATATTGTATTTCCACCATCCTACGCCCAATAGATATATAGTTATATAATAGAAAAGGTTTTTAAATGTAATGTATAGAACGCTGGTAAATAAACACCCAACTTCTTCTTATAAACTCCAGGGTATATTTCATAGGCAAGTGACTAGAATCACCTAATGTAATGGAAGGCACGTTTTTAGTGGTGATAGCACTTTAATGAGTATTATTTACGGGGAATAAAAGGGGGCAGAGAGAGAGAGAGAGAGAGAGAGATGCGGATAGAGAGAAACTAGCTGAATAATCTGACTATAGAAGTTGATCGGTGGTAGAAGTGTATTAAAAGGGAGGAACGTCTGGGTCGGGTTTAGGCAATTTATCCACCCGAATATTTTGGGAAAGAATTGTAATAGTTAAAGGACAGAGTTGGAAAGTGTCTCCGAGCCCATGGGGTAAAAGCGCATGTCCATTAAGAAGCTAAAAGAGTTGGAGAGGAGGGGGGGGGGGAAGTATTGTCTGTCTATCATTTGAGCCTTCACTGAAGATTGTTGGTCGAGCCAATCTAGGCATGGCGATAAAAGCTTGTCTATTGATAGGCGTTTTGGCAATTCTAAGGTTTGATGGCTACAGAAAAATTCACCTCATATTCCCTCCTGACCCTCAGAAAAGTTCAAGTTTATAATTTCATGATGACATCACTTTTTATTCACATTTTAACTGAACTATAATTTCAACCCATTCAATACTAGTTTTTATTCATATGTCAGCATGTGCCTATTCAAATCGTCTTAAGCATGTTTATGATAAGAGTTATATTTAGTAACACGGGGTGTGCGATAGACTTACCTCCACGTGGTGCACCCTGGGCAACGTATACTCATACGGCAAAAAAGTCTACAAACCGGCAGTTGACTTCAAACTACCATCACCCCACTGTATGGCATATTCGACCACTTCCACAGTACTACATCACATTTTTTTCTAAATTTTCAACCTTCGTCTTTGAAACACTCTTCAGTACCCCTCCTCTCGACTTTTTTTCACTTTGATGTTCCTTCCCCTCTCTGTGAAGCCTGAAGTCAACTAAAGGGCTAATGATAACCATTAAAACGCCTGCCATTTGGTATAAATGAATAAATATTTAGTAGCACTCTTAGAAGTCGCTATGTAACTATTGAGATGGTGATTAGGTGAGGGAATTTAGTATGGTGGATAGTGAATAGACTGTGCGCGGGCTGTATCAACGAGGAAAGGAGCTTAGCTAAGAAGAAATTGTGTTTGGCACCTAATGATTAAATCTCGCTCATAGTTATCGATTGAAGATGCTAGGGGACTCAAAACACGAAGAGGTTGAACTATTGTTAATTTCTCTATCTACAATAGAGGGAAAACGAAGAAGGAGCTATGACTGAAGAAGTATCAGAGAGCACTTGGTTTTTGAACTGTTCACACAAGCACATGAGTGCATGACGCGCTCTCCACGCCATATGTGTGCCGTGTGCGCCTGTATACTGCATTGTGCTGTGTCACAGAGACTGTCAGGAGAAAGCCAATTATTCATCACCCTGTGCATGATCTATATTTAGCTAAACTTGCTCTCTGGCTAGCTAACGAGGGAACTAATCCGGCTAGCTCTAATGCGTTGTGTGCGTTTAGCCTGTGCGTGCTCTCTCTCTCATGAATTGCGTTACCCTTTGGAGCCGAAAAACAGGCTGACCTCTAAATATTGACGCAATTAGGGTCATTCATAACCCTTCTTCTTCATCATCCTCCTTTTTAGCCCATGGACGAATCAGATTGCAAGCCTAGTGCTAGCCCCAAATCTTCCAATGAGACATCAGCAATAGCAGCAGGCGTTCCCATCATAAATAGCGGGAAATCTATTCGTCTACAACGGGCGAACTCCTCTTTTCCCTCAACTACCACGGCTACGGCTCTCTCTTCCAATAATGGGTCTTCGAACAGCATCAGCTCTCAGCATGTGCGTCAGAAGCTGAAAGAACATCTTCTCAGTCGTCGGGTGATGAGTGTAGGGGCCTCTTGGGGAGCAGTCTCTAATTCTGGAAACTCTGCAGGTGGTGGTGGTGGAGTGGTGACTAGTGGTACTCCTCCGCATTCCCATGCTCCTCTCCGACGCTTTTCTCGATCGTTTGAATCGGATCCCACAGTGTCACCTCCATCACCCACCTTAGGGGAGGTAAACAGTAATGCTTCAGCTCATGGTCACCCTTCTCCTCCTTCGTTCCCAAGAAAACGAGCTGCTTATCATCGCTGCGCGGCCATTTCCCTGGATCTTCCTTCTAAGCAGTCGTCTGGTGTTCTTATTGGATCTGTTCCCAATTCAAGGACCTTTGATGAGATTGCAGTCGAGAAGCTGAATTCAATTTGGAGGGAAGCAAAGTCACAGGCACACTTCAAGCTGTCTTCTCTACGTAAGGACATTTTTTCGATGATTTATATTCTTGCAAAAGGAAGTATAATGCTGGTTAGGTATTGTTTTATTCTTAAACAGTTATTCATCATTTGACTCGGAGTTGAGGAAATGTATAAATACCCTTATATGTAAATGCAAATTACAGGGTGTTTGGGATAAATTTTGCAAAGTGGTGTTTGGTTTTTTATCTCGGACCTCTGTTGAAGGTGTTCAGGCACACTCCACTTCATTTGAGCGCTTGACTTCCTCTTCACTCATTTACGTGATGACAACTAGAATGGTTGGTGACTAGAACCCATCCCAACCATGTGTGAAACTGACTGGCATCATATTGTTTCACACCCCGTACTGTCAAAAAAGAAGTTTATGCTCACTACCCAATGCTCCTTTAACAGAGTGAAAAGAGTCCTCCACTACCTAGACACTTTTCTTGATGACTACAAGATTGTTGTGCCTAGATGAAGGCAATAAAGTGGACAATCTAGTCTGATTGCACTCGCACAGCGGAGGTACTCTATAATCTCCTGTAAAAGTGTTGGAAATCGGAGCTTTTGATTTTTCGGCACAATTAATTGTATGTTTCAGCCTCTGTCATGATGTTTGCACTCTGTGAACATCTCTTTTACTACAAGGTCATACAAACATCGCAGAGGCCAATTCTCCACAGAAGTTCGTCGTCTGACAAAGGAGGGGGGGGGGGGGGGGGAGGGAACCTTTGAGCAAAGTGAAACATCCTGCCAAAGCACAAATAGTCTTGTTCTCTTGCCATAAATAAAGTGCACAGGTTGGCAAATAAGAGATATCTTGGCTTGTCTGTGGTAGTTTTCGGTTCTGTGTCTTACTCTTAGGGTGATATGATACATTGGTAGAACGCGGATGCCTACTTGGAGTTGGTGTAGTAGTTGAATAACGGATACCGAACTAAAGTAGGCAATAATGGGTCGTACGTGTTGTGCCAGTGGAATTCGGCCCCATGATAAACTTCCAAAAAGTGCGTATAAAATATCGTTGGTCTACTTAATGCGATAGATTATTATGAATGGGACACAGTGGAGATAAGCGCTAATCACCTTTTGAGTACTACAAAGTCCCAATTATTGTACTGCATTAAAGGACCCTTTCCAGCCAGTGTAAAACCAGCTTGCTTAAGCGAATCTTCTTGACACCTTATTCGAGCTAATAGTTTGTTCATTGTAGCTTAAGCGTCATATTTTGGGTTTCTAGGAGTAGGTTTTTCAAACAATGTGCCATCGCTTGGTTTTCTATGTCCATCTCGAAACTTTTTTTTAAAATGAACCCTGAATTCATCCACAAATACTTTTTTTTTAACTTTAGCCGGCTCAGGAGGCAACACCTTCTCTCCCTTCCCTAAGCGCCAAGCCAGTTACAATCCCCAAATGGCACACGACTGTCCGGAAGATCTCTCCAAACCAAGTGCCATCGAGCCTCCCTGTGTTGACATGCCCTTAGATTTGACAGCGCCTGCAGCACCTACGACACCTGCAATTGATTCCCCACGGCGTGTTAATAATGAGTGCCTTCTACGACAAACTTCTGCCAACCCCACACCAACTGCATCTGTTGGCGACGTCTCGTTCTTTATGCATCAAATTGAGGCTCTTAGGGTAAGCCGCGACTATTTTATTTTTTTTAAGTTTGAGAGCTTCCAAATACACAATGAAAGTTCATAAAGAGGGGGGGGGAGTTGTGTGCTCAACCTTTGAGAGGGGTTTTAGGCAGTAGAAGTGGGAGTTGAGCAATTAAAGATGAATCTTACTTCATCTGTGTTTCAGAATCGTCATGTCAACCGCTCTTTCAGATTTAAATTCCGTCGGGCTTATTTTTCTTCTCCTCCATCTTCCTCTTCATATATATCTTTAAGTTGTAGTTGGTGTTTAATAAATCGAGGAATATTCAGTTTTCTAGGATTCTTCGACAACCAGATTTCGCTTTCTTTCTTGTGGCTAGCCAATTTCACAATCTCCTCTTACCTGATCTCTTACAGCGTTAGAAAGATGGTAGTAATATCTTAGGCATATCCTTTGGTTCATTTGTTAGGTTGACTGTCTTTAATCAATTTTGCTATTAGGGTGGCAGACTGGAATGAGTGACCTTTTGGGGGCCAAGTGGTATGGGCCGTGGTGTCTGCCTGTGATTCTTGTAAAAACAGATATATCTACTTGCATATGGCTGTGGTAAAATTGGCGAAATGTTTCCTTACAGCATGTAGTATTCTAAAGAGGGGGGGGGGGGGGGGGGGGGGTGGTGGGTGATTAGGAGTGATCATGAGAAATGCTGCTTTTGTGAAATTAAATGCATATATTAGTTTCTTGATCATTCTTAAGCCTTATATATCCTATAAAGTGTTGGTTGTCACTTTGATCCCTATCTCGTATCTCTAAGGCAAGTTTTTAACTTAGTAATAGCGGTATCTGGTAATCGAATGCTAAATCACTGATAGATTGGTTGCAACCTTGTTCACTCAATTTGCACTGGCTAATTGTCAAAATTCCAAGAACTGGTTAGGCGTAATAGAAGTTTTCGGAGAGGTGTTTGTTCATCCCGAAGCAAAATTGTTTCATTGAGTCATGTTTGCACGCTTCACACTAAATAGATGGCAACTTAGATTATGTATATTGGTGATCTGTATCTCATACCGGGTGGCCAAACTGGAACTGTTCCTGTGTGAATACAGAAAGGCAGGCCAATATTGTGCTTTTACCTACAATTAATAAATGCCAAATCTAGCAAATTGCAGCATTACTGGACATTCATTGATCCATATAAAGTGTTGAGAGTGTTCACAATGAACTCCAACCCACAACGCAGCACATTTCTTCTACCTTGGTCCCAGGCCCACTACCACTAGTTTAAGAATAGAAGAATATGTAATCCAATTGCTCCTGAATAATCTTGAAATATGTGGAATTGATTGATCGCTTGGTTAGGCAGTAATGTGGCTTCTATATGACTCCCTTCCTGGGCATATAAGCGCATACGAGTAGCATGCAAATATAGCTCAGTTAATATGACGAGAGTTCTGTGTCAACAGAGAGTCAAAAGGGTTTGTTTTGTTTTCATAACACTTTCAATAGACCTCGATATGAGCATTATTGCAATTTTTAAACCACGTTTTCAATTATTATTTTGCATAACGGATTTTTTTAAGTTCTTTTAAACTACTGCTGAAGGATTACTGGGTGTCTCAGACACTAAAGATTTTATTAGCAATGGTATTGGACTGTAGAGTGGATTAAAAGAAATTTAAATGTGTTTATATTTTTTTCAATTGCAAGCTAACTAGGAGTGCACCTAAACAAGGGTATTAACTTTATGTGATTTGTCGTCATTACTTCATGCATGAGTCTAAAATTACTTAGATTGTCTTCCTCGTTTGCAGAATACTTCAGTACAGAAGCAATTTCTGGCTCTCAATTCGACTGCATTTTCGGCTCCTTCCACACCGCCAAACCTCCTAGTGGGAGGACCTCCGCCTAGTACAACGTCTGCTGTAGCTGGTGCAACAGTTTCTAACCCCGCGGTGCCTTCTTGTCTCCAGGAGACTGCTGCCTCCATTGTGTCCTCCCTCACCTCCCTCTGTCAGCCTCCATCGCAACAACAGCAGCTCAATCTCCTCGCCACCTCGATGCTTCAGTCGCATCTCAGTAAGTGCAGCGGCTCTTTGACTACTCATATTCGCTTGCTAAGTGAATACCCTCCACTTTCTCTGCCATTTTTTTTCAACCTTTTTAGTTGTCTATTGTAAGTTTCTTTTGCACTCCCCCCCCAATACAAACGGAGGCTTATTTCAACAATTTAACGCATATTTAGAAGAACGTTAACAATGAGTTTAGTTTTCGGTAGTCGAATAATTTGTGCCTTTTATTTGGCAGATGTGAGGTGATGCAAGTTTTTTGTGTAACTTTGTTTTCGCGTATTTGCATTACTAATAGTTATATAATATTCACAATCTAATTACCACTACATTCTTAAGGTAATTGTCTTCAGTTTCTGATAAGCATTTAAAGTTGCTTTGTGGTGCTATGCTGCCTTCATAAGGACTTGTTAAACAGGGGTGTTTTCTAAGTTTGTATCTTTGATAAGTGTGCTAGTTTTGGTCTTTTTCCATTTGCAGGTACTCAAGTGGGTCAAAACCTTCGTGAGACCCAGGAGAATCTAGCTGCACTAACCTTAAGTGGTCCCACACGCGACAATGTCCTTCAACAGAACCCCCCGACCCAGCCTCCCCCAGGACCCTCACCCTCACCACCTTCCACCTCCGTGATACCTTCCACAGATGAGTTCATTCGAACTGCTCTTGAAGGGGCTTGTGATGAAATTCAAAGGCACTGGAATTCCCTTCCTATCATCAATTCTTGGCCAAAAACTATGGAGAGAAGGCGTGGGGTGCCAAGTGCTTCTTCAGGGTATGACTACTGCTAATTCATTAGTCATTTCGTGTTTAACTTGAATCGATAAATAATGTTGCTATAACAGAGCTAAAACCCCTAAAATCTTTAAAAGAGGAAAATTGGTTGTGATTGCAAGACCTTTCTTCATAATTAACCAAGCAGTCATTGAGCATTGAGTGTATTGTTGTCAGTTATCCAGCTGATAAATTATGAAATTTGCATTTTGTGTTACGCGAACTACAGATTGATTAAAAATTTATTTATATCAAATGGCAGGCGTTTTAATAGTTATCATCAGCCCTTTAGTTGACTTCAGGCTTCACAGAGGGGAGGAGGAACGTCAAAGTAAGGATGGGGGGGGGAACAGAAGAGTGTTCTAAAGATGTAAAAGAGACAGACACAAAGGTAAATGAATGGTGGGGTGAGAACTGTGGAAGTAGTCGTATATGAAATACAGTGGGGCCATTGTAGTTTGAAGTCAGAAGTCAGCTCCCGATTAATTGACTTTTTTGCCGTATGAGCATACGTTGCCCAGGGTGCACCACGTGGAGGTAAGTCTATCGCACACCCCGATTGATTAAAAAATAATGCTTACCTTAAATTCAGAAATTGAATGAGGTTAGATTCCGATATCTTGAATCTGCTTTCAGCATCTCCCAATCCCCCCCCCCCCCCCCCGCCTTCTCCGATTCCCATTTCTCGGGCTCACTACTGTCCTCCATTTCTTTTTCGCAATGAAAAATTGGGAACTATATATATTCTTTTATATAAAACTCATTGTCAAAGATTTCTCGTGGGTTAACAAATTCTGGCACTTTGTTCCTGAGATGCTCTAGTTCGAGGCGGTAATGATGGATCTGTTAATATTATTGTTTCCTTTTTTTGCAAATCTTATTAAAATTCCCTAACAAATAGAGTTCTATTTTTTATGTGCGCACTGGAACAAGTCCATTTTGCCAGAAATGATTTCTGTTCGTAGGATGTAGAAATAGCGTGACCACTACTGCTGCATTCACGTGTGTTATTTTGTTTTCAACTGGTTCCTGCAAGCTACCATCAATGATTCGCACATCAAGGAGCACTGGAGAACAGGTGGAAACCACCTCGTTTAATTAATTAATTGATTTGCCTTAGGATGTCTATTTTACTTGATTTATGGTTGGCCGAAAATTGTGTATATGCCTCTTCTCAGTGATTTAACCCGCATATCTTATTTCTATGATTAGATTTGTATCATTTTCTTTATCTTCTCCTCGCGATCTTTCCTATTCCAGTCTGTCATTGTTTGATAGGCCTTAAAATAGCCTCCTAGTTGAAATGACGATGGCGCCATCAACCCTAAAGCCCGAGGGATCCTCAGAATGCTCTGAAAACAGGGATCACATGAGCTCTAAACATGCGCTTACCAAATATGATGAAATTTGGAAAAAGCAAAAAGGCGAAATCTCCATGAGAAAATTTTTCTAGGCATGGGGCGGGGGGTGGGAGCGGGGCAATAGACCACCTAGAAATCAAGTGAAGGGGGTTGATTGGAGGGCATCACAGCACTCTTAACTCACTTAAAATTATGAAATTATTGAGTTGTCTCCCCTCCACTTAATTTGTAGTGTTTTTTTTGTCTTCACGTCTCATTGTTAGTAATGCACATAGTATTTATTTATTTATATCAAATGGCAGGCGTTTTGATAGTTATCACTATCCCTTTAATTGACTTCAGGCTTCATAGAGGGGAAGGAACATCAAATTGAAAAAGTCGATAGGGGGGGGGGGAGGAGCAGATGAGTGTTTTAAAGATGTAAAAGAGGCAGACACAGAGGTAGAAAAAGGTGAGGTGAGTACTGTGGAAGTAGTGGAATTTGACATAAAGTGGGGTGACGGTAGTTTGAAGTGAGAAGTCAACTGCCGGTTAACAGACTTTTTTGCCGTATGAATATACGTTGCCCAGGGTGCACTACGTGGAGGTAAGTCTATCGTACACCCCAGTAAAGCACATAGTTGAAGTTTCAGTTCCTGAATAGGTTCATTTACTTCATGTTCAAAATATATTATTAGCTCATTTATATGACTGAATTGTCATACCAGTTAGATTCTCTGGCTCTCTCTAATGGTCAAGAGGGCTTAGCCTACACCGAATTCGATGTTTTACTGGACACTTCTGCAATATCGAAATATATTTTAAAAAATTGTTATCATTACCAGTGGGTGATCGAGAAATTGTCGTGAAAAGCTGCAAGCAGGCATCGGCAATATGATTAGCCAATTGAAAATTAATTACTATCAGCGCTTTAGCCCCGTATTGCTAGTTGTTCGGCTGATTTTTGGTTTGATAGAGTGCGTTTCTGAGAAATGTATCGTAAGGCATTTTAATTGGCTAGCATTCGGAATGTTTCCAATTGCCTGCTTTATTACAATTGCTTTTCTTGGCCAATTCAGATTATTAATTCCATAATCCGCTGGTTATGTATTGAAATTTATTTATTTCAAATGGCAGACGTTATGATAGGTATCATTA